AGAATTCATCAAACCCTGTCGGTCCGCACAGAGCAGCGTCCAGCAGGCAGGTGAACACAGGTGAAGGTGTGTGTGGGTCTTGGTTCGACCCTGTATGTGCCCACCGTCCTGTCGCTGGCAGCGCTCATGGCCTATGGGTGGAGATTGCTGTTCCCTCTACAGAAGTACACGCGTCTCTTCGTGCTGTACTTCCGTCTCTCTCTCCCGCATTCTCTCCTCCTGCCTATTTCTTTTTTGCTGAAAAAAAAAAATGCCACCGCCCAAACGGGTTAACTCATAATACGCAGCTGTCATATACATATGTACGTAAGGGAGCATAAGATGCCGAACACCCTCAGCAGGATGCAGCGCACCCTACATGCGACCCGCCGAATAACTCACGGCGCTCTGCGCTTGGTGCGTGAGAACCTGGTCCGGTGAGAACCCGGCGTGCTCCGTCCCGGCTTTGTACGGATGCGAGGTCAATGGTCTAACGACTACTGCACACACCTGGACATGGCGTCCTTGTTCATCCGCCTCCACTTGCTACCCAACATACACAAGACACACCATCCACAGAAAACATTCAATCTCATTATCACGTAGCCAGCACTTCACACTCCCCTCACACCGTCTTACACTTTGAGCAGGAGCGTACGTGCATGCCGACGGGCGGGCGGGCCTGGCGAAAAGCCATATCAATTTCGGCACAACACAACCAACCGCCACCGGAAAAAATATGTCGAGAGGAATTCACATCATCATTCCACGCGGCAGTTCCTCGTGGACTTCATTCAATGCACGTGAGAGGACACGCCACGCGTGAGTGAGCGGACGAGGTCGGTACGTCCGTCGGTCGTCGACACCTATACACTGCTGTATAGCGCCCACGGCCCACGGCCCGCAGCAAAAAAAGCGGAAACAGCTTCGGCTGGGGTAGACTAATTGCGTGTCGTCATCATCAATCAATCACTCTTCCTCGTCCCGACCCGACCCCACGCGAAAAGTACCGAGCGACACGAAATCCATCCGACCTCTCAGCGATTAACCTCTTGCCGACAAAATACAGTGCCTAATGGTGGGCTTACACACCAGGCTAATGAGTTTGGTTTGCTCGTACCTGCGCAAAAAGAGTAAGTAAAATGTCGGGACCTACCTGTGGTGGTCTTGTTGTTGTGCTGTTCTTGCAGACGTGGGGTGGGTGTGGTTGTGAGGTGCGGGGGCGAGGTTGTGTGGTTGTGTTGTGTGCATTCGGAAAAAAAACGTTTCTTCTTCGTTCGACCTCTTTGCCCTGATCGGTACCCCTCTTTTTATCTGCCCATGGATGC